GGGCTCTTAGGAGATTGGGCACACATCAAGTCAAGGACCATCTCGGAATGAGGGCACTTGGGGGTGAGGGTTCTCAGGAGTCCGGAGCACCTAGGAGTAAGAGATCGCGGGTGTCGTAATCACTACGGGGTGAGCATTCCCAGGGGTCGGAGGCACCTGGAGAGTGGAGTATATCAAGGGTATGGGGCACTTAGGGGTAGGGTAACCTAGGGATCGGGGCACCTAAGGGCGAGAGTTCCCAGGAAAGATAGATAGGATAGGTAATACGTTTACTATTTTCTACAACATACATACATTTCAGAGTAACACAAAGGAAAAAAAAAGATACAAGAAATCAGCCACGCATACCCATATAATGTAATAGTTTTTTTTTATGTTATAGGGGGCATACGAGCAGACGGCTCACCTGATGGTAAGTGATCACCGTTGCTCATGGACACTTGCAACACCAGGAGTATCACAAGTGCGATGCCGGCCTTTAAGGAAGGAGTACGCTCTTTTTTTGAAGGGTTTTCCTATAGTAGTAGCCTATTGTTTATCCCATCTGATTTTTCTCAATCTGTTTACGGTTTGTATTTGAGTCAAGTTTTAAGTCTGTTAGTTTACCCAAGGAATAAGATTTTTCATACAACCTTTCATTAAAACCTAAAACCCCTATTTGAAAGCCTTAGGGGGGTGAGGGTTCCTTTCTTAGTGCACCCTTAGACCGTGTACTATCATACTTTCAATAAATTTTTTTTCAATTTCTTTCAATAAATAAGAGCGACAGGCGGCCAGCAAGCTCCGCCTCCTCGTCTCGCCCGCCGCCGCGCCGCGCCGCCAGCGTCTTGTCTTGCTTGCATCAAGCGCGCGTGGATTTCCTTAGCAGAGTTATTTTAGAAATGTATTTATTATACTCTTCAAATATCTTGTACTTACAATCATCAACAAATATATTTCGAAAAAGATTATTACAGGATTTTATGTTGATAAAAAACTCTATGGCCCATAACTCATTAATAAGTACCAACTCTTAACATCTTACACACGTGATAACTTTTAAACGAAATATCCGATTGAGATGAAACGAAAAGTATTTTACTTCTACATAAATACTCTTGATAACATAATGCTTAATTTCGATAAAGATTAATATTACGATACATATTTAACTTAGTTTTTTTTCTTCAGACGATTTAATAATTATTTTGAACACAAAATCGGTTATTGTGATTAAACCAACCAAAACAAACCAAAAAAGTCCGCGAGAACATATATCTAGCTTGATAGCTAGATATATGTTCTCGCGGACTTTTTTGTAGGTCTTAATGGGATCTACAAACCCGTAGAACATCATTTTGTTCTATTGTCAATAGTTTTTGCAGCGCACGCAAAAATAGGTTTTCGATTTTACACCCTGTGTTACAAAATAGCAATTTTATTACGGATCCCTAAAATTGAAAAAAAATAGCCTATAGCCTTCCTCGATAAATGGACTACCCAACACTGAAAGAATCATTCAAATCGGACCAGTAGTTCCAGAGATTAGCGCGTTCAAACAAACAAACAAACAAACTCTGCAGCTTTATAATATTAGTATAGATACTGCAGAAAGCAAAAGGCCAAGGCTAGGCTAAACATTTGTCTGTTTGTTGGCAAAACTCAGATTTGCAGCCATTACTTTTTTGAGTGAGTAGTTAAGCGGGTAAAAAGACGAAGTTTGGTTTGGATGCGACAGTCGAAGTGCCAGAACGATACATTATTCAAAGATTTTTTAATTCAGGGGGATGACAATTCCCCCATGACCCTAATTTATATGATGCAAATAAATAAATGAATGTAAATAAATGTAATTTCCAACACTCACACCAATTGGCCTAGCCCCAAAGTAAGCACTCTAAGGCTTGTGTTATGGCATACTAGGGTAACCAATAGAATACATATACTGTACATATAAGTATATTTATATAGAAATACATATTTAACATCCATGACTGGAGTACAAATGCTCGTATTCAACACACAAACATCTGCCCCCACCGGGATTCGAACCCTCTCGAGTCGGCGACACCATGAAACCCAGTGTACAAACCACTCGTGGTCACGGAGATCGTCGGTAAATGGGTTGCGATAAGGAACAGCGTTTGCATATGGCACTTTTTCGTTAACCTTCATCTTCCTTATCCTACCGGTACTCCATGCCCCACATCGCCCGACCCCAGTCACCCTCAATTAATATCGTTTACAAAGAAGAAGGTATTGGCTTAAAGAAATGCAAAAAGAGCGCTTCCCTTCATCAGACAAACCATGTCACCTACGTACTACATGTAACAACATGTGGTACGTGTCGTGTCATACGTGGCACTACCCCTACACTGTACGCAGTGTAGGGTTCCGTAGTTGTCTGTAGATACCACAATATATTTGAGCAGGAGTCTTTATTTTCTATATGGGAAATTAGAAAAACCAATTGATATCAATATATGTATCAACTAAAATACTTAAATCAAAGTCAAACGGCGTCTCAAAATTAATTCGATATTGTTATTTTCTTAAATACGAGTCATAACCGCCGATATTTATTTGATTCCCCCAGGCGGGGGAGAGCGTGTGAAATCCTTATGGACACCCTACAGCCGGCTGCAAGGTTATGTCAGACTCTTACTGACTAAAAGCTTCATTTGAAGCGATAATCCCCTAAGAAGGGGATGATGCGGAATAACCGCCGATCTTTTCAAGTACCTACTTACAAACATTTTTGAGGAGCTCGATGGCGCGGGTGAAGTTTAGCAACTTTCAGTGGTCGGTCATTGGATAGGTGACCAAAAGTCTTCTATCTTGAGTTCCTTTGTGCAACGGAAGGCACGTTAAGCCGTTAGTCCAGGCTGGATCTGCAGTCGTTAGCACCCGCCAATCCGTACTGAAACTGCTTTTCATGAACTTATTATCATGAATTTTTCCAGGTTTTGCAATCTAATAGTTAAGCTTTTAGAGGGAGGGGGGGGGGGGGGGTTTACGGTAATTACGAAGAGTAAAATTTAATTTAAAAATAAAATTATGTAAAAAAAATACAAAATTTTATTCTACCATTTTGTCGGCGTGATCGATATACATATCTTCAGACGGACGTAACGGAACTATGTATTAGTGTTCCTTGTCAGAACTATGGAACAGTTTTCTTTAAAACTGAAACCGATAAGTACCCATATAAACAGATAAGTACCCATATAAACCGATAAGTATTACGCTGAGCTTAGGACGACGTACTTACTCTAATAATCAACATTCGATGTATGGTTAACTTCGTGAAGTATTCTTTACTGTGTTAAATTAGCATGACAAAGATCATAATCACGATATAAAGAAGTCTACCTTAAAAGTAAAGTTCCTTAATGTAACAAAGTATCAGATATTGACGCGCCGCCAGCGCTAGGCACTTGCTTCCAATCTAATCGAACTCGTAGTCGTAGAAGACTATTTTTTCTTTTGTTTATAGTAGTGGTGAAATTTCATATTACTATTACCCCCCCCCCCCCCCTTGATTTGGTCCACGTTGTTTTTTGAAAATCCCACAGGAACTTAACACTTTTCTAGGATTAAAAGTATCCTATGTCTCTTTCCGAATATGAACTCAGTATAGGTCGCATCAAACTTCCTGAGCAAAACTATAGACAAAATAAACTAGAGTACCCTTGGCACGAATCGAATTCGAATAGTTTGCGAGTCCAAAATGTCATTGTCAAATGTGTACTGATTTTTAGTTCTCGATACGTACTTTGTGGTTCTGCTGTTCAAGTTTCCATAGTTTTTATTTGACATTGACATTTCGCACTCGCAAACTATTCGAATTCGATAATAGTTCGTGCTAGGGGTACTGTAGACGTTTTTGTACGTAAAAACTTATTTGTCTATGGTCGCCGTTGTTGAAGAAATTTGCCGGGATGTATATTATGTATTGAAAATATGACTCTACCAAACCGGTGTAACGTAAAGCTCGGTGACAGATAGCGGTGCGGTAGACTATATTTTAGGTATGAAGAATAGCATGCCCCATTGGGAAAAGCTATAAATGGTGGTGTGATTTCTCAATTATTCGATAATTTTGAATGAAAATTATATTATGAGCTGTGTAACTATTATACATAAGGTGTCAAATCATATGATTCAATTCAGCTTATTATCAATAAGCACGTCATTCTTTCTGTTTATCAATGCAAGTCCCTGTTTGATAAAATAAATGCCTTTTTCGTTTATTGGGTATCATTTATCTGCTATTTCTATTTCATAAACACCGATAATGCTCACGTTTGTACCTATGATATAGGTACATACAAAATTCTCTGAAATCAAATACAACTTTATCGCTTATCAGTCTCATTCTAAATCGACGTCTTTGTTGAATAGATATACTTAGGAGCGCTCGCAAGATTAAAGAACGGTTCTCAAACAATATTACTTACATCGTTGAAGTTATTGAAAAATGTTGTGTTGATATGGTGCTTCACCTCAACAAACAGTTTAAATATTACTGTGAACTTATAACAACAGTTCGTATCAAACGACGCTTGAGGCAGCAGCCCAGACAATTGTCCGCAAAAAAGGTTTGCCAAAAAAACGAGCGTATTTGAAGTATAGCGAGAGGCGCGGGGTGCGTCGTCGGCGGTCTCAAGGGCGCAGCATTCGGGACTAGCCGGCAATCACGGCGCTTTGGCGGCTCGCACGGATCACAACGCCTCCACCGTCCAGCTGCCTCGGACGCCTCATATAAACAATGTCCAGTGCGCCGATCGGCGACGGCTGCCACCTGTTGTGAAACAAAAACATTCCGAATTTTATTCCACGCTCGGCATTTTGGATACCACTCAATCATGTGTTATTTAATAACTTTGTGTCTATTCCTCCTAGTAAGCGCAAGTGCTGCCAGTGATAACTTCAAAATTTTTAGAAAGTGTTGTCCGAAAAGTCAAAGTATTTTAAAAGCGTCCGGCTTCGACAGCGTATCAACAGAGGTATATACATGTATGGCTAGTGAATATGAAATAAGTGATTACAAAGTTTCTAATCCAAACTCTCATCTTATCGTGAATCCTAGTGTGTTTATAGATGATGGTGTACCTAATGGTTGTGAACTACAGGTGGTTCAATTGAGAGAAACGAATTTAAACTTATCGACTAGTAGGGACGTATGCTATGATAGACTTGTTGCAGAAATTAATAATGGTACGGTACAGAAAATTATACCAAAAACAGTGATTCTGATGTGTAATAATACAGAGCTCATGCCTGAAACAAATTTAAATATACAGAACATCCGAAAATGTTGCCCGAGGGGCCAAGTTTATGACACAGAGTATCATTTCTGTAGAGATGATGATAAAGTTAGTAACGAGGAATGGATTTTAAACAATTTAAAAATGAAAAGTGCAGATATTACTGAATTTGAAAATGGACTGTCTTGTAAATTGGAAGAATACGCTGTAGAGCTCAAAGAGCAATTTTTCAGCTTTACATTAAACGGAGGTAGCCTGACTGTTCACAAGAAAAGTCAGGAGAGTGAAAAGCTAATTCGCAAAGGAAATTGGTGCGTAGATCAGGAGTTTACCACTAAGCAGCTGGTAGCTCGAGTCTGCACTCTTGACTGTGGAGCGTTTGATGCTTTTTGTATGAGAAAGTGTTGCCCTGTAGGAGAATACTACAAACCTTTTGTATGCGGTCGACCAGCCAGCGTATGTGTTCCGAATACCGATGACAGCATCTTATTCAATATATCTTCCTACATGGAACCTTTGAGAAAGGAATTCGGTATTGGTGGTAAGTACGTCAATTTTATGGTAATGATTTATGTTGTTTTATTCCCTAACAATAATGGAAGTTTGTACCAGACATAAACGATGATTAATATATTTATCAAATTAACGATTGTTATCTTTTGAAGAATTACAAAGAATCCGTAAATCTTAACAACAAATCTTGTTTACAAACTAATGAATGATTGTACCGTGAATGTACATACGTGCAACGCTAAAATTGATTGACTAATTTGTATTATTAATATCGATAATTTACAGTTTGTAAGAAATGCATGGAAAAACATACATATTCAAATACTTTCTGTAATCAAAAAAGGCGAAAGGAACACTATTAGATTATTATTACCCCTACGCGGCCGTTGTCTGTCTGCCATAGGGCTCTATATTAAAAAGGAATAAAGAGACACCTGAAAAAGTTGGCGTGTTCTTTGGCAGTTACTTATCATACGAAATATAAAATCAAATAATTCTTAAATATAAAAAGAGGAATTAAGAATTATTAAGTAAATAACTACTTATCCTATATCAAAAACCAATAGTAAATAATACCTGTCATATAATTAATCTATACATTTAATAAAATGGCAGGAAAGTCAAAACTGTACATTGAATATTTTTTTAGAAGAAGACTTGGGGTGTTATCTGCAATCGATACCGAAGCCAAAAATATAGTTTTTAGATTTTTTGTCTGTTTGTCTGTATGTATGTTCGGGATAAACTACAAAAGTAAGAAGTCAGGTCAACATACTCGTATAGGCTACATATTAGCACGCTGTCACCTACGGGGAACGAGCAGTGAACCTTTATTTCTAACTAACTCCACGCGTGCAACGTCGCGGGCGGTCGCTAGTGCAACATACTAGGGATGGTAACTAACTTCTTTTTCTTCGTCTATCAGGTAGATTATCAAAATGTGTTGGGCATGTGTTTTTCCTTTATTTACACAAACCAAACATTACACTGATATTTTGATTTGAAATGTCGCATGACGTCACGTCTTAGTACAATTTTTACTTCGGAGTGATGTCAGAAGCACCCACTTCAAAACTTTAAAGCCCCATCCATACCTCTGCCATTTTTTGGTTGATTGACAAAAGAAAAAACAAGTGCCCATCATTATTTGATAATTTAACTGACGGACTAAATAGAATTTCCTTTAATTTATCCCGCCATCATCCCTATTCTGACAGTTCCGTAACGCAAAATCATATCAGCATTTGTGATCAGAGCAATATCAAAGCGACAGATCAATCTCCGTAAATGTTAGTAACACTGATTCAAAGAAAAGGCAGGAAGTGGGTTTATGTAGGTTTGTATACCTAAAGGTAGATATCTATACTTCATAATTAGGTCAGTAGCAAATATACGTTTTCCCATCCCAATATACGTTATTGGGATGGGAAAGGAAAAATGTATGTTTGTAACAAATAATTGGAACGGTTTTTTGAAATCCTTTAATGAATGATACTCATGAAGGAATATCCAAAACCTATATATAGATTCCTGAGGGACACAGGCTATATATTATAGCGTTAAAATTAATTTCGGTCCAAAGCCGGGGTGCGTCGTTAGTAGTTTATATAACAAAACTATTTAAAGATCTTTTTATGTTTTGCAAAACCCACGTTTCATGTGGCTAGACAGAGGAAACGGCAGGTAGCGGAAATAATGTATTACATATTTCGTTACGCAGAACTATGAATATTCAACTTTATACTCGCCTATGGTGCCTTAAAATAATCACCAATTCTTGAGAAAAACTTATATTTAGTATGTTGAATAAAGGTACTTACACTCTTGTAAGTGCCTTTGTTCAACATACTAAATATATGTTTTAATAATTAGCACGTGTTGATACTGACAAATATCATATTTATTGACAAAATGTTTTCATATAGTATAAGAGACATTTACTGAAAATGGGGAAAATGTTGATTTTGTAATACAAAAATATTTGTTTCTAGGGGATTTTACAAAAATACAACTTTTTCATACAATACGTATCTCGAAAATAACTTTTTTCTCTCATATTATAAAGGACTTTTGTATTTCATTTATAATGTCAGTCCTATGGTGATGTAGGATATTAATTTCAAAAATTCACATATCTTTTCAAACTAATTATAGATTTTGCTGCGAATTTGTAAATAGAACAATCTTCTTTGGAGATGGGCTCTGAAAGAAAGCAATGCAATATCCCAATATCCATCCTGAGAATTAAGAAGCCAATAAAAAAAAATAAGCCTAATCGGTTCAGTCGTTCTCAATTGAAGCTCCGTCAATATACCTATAATATGACAGTTGATTTTTAAATTTATCTGTTTATTTAGATATGTAGATTTAAAAAGGTTCCGCTCAAGGCAAATAGCGTTTAAGTAAACTTATCTTGTAGATGCTAATTTTGTTAGCAATCTATTTTTAATATAAGATTAAACTTGTCTCTGAAATGTATTTTGCAAGCTTAATAATATTTTAATTTAAAAGAACAAATACTAATGTTTGCCCTACAATGATTGGCCCTAATGCATTTATTTTAAATAAAATGCTGAACACGATTTTTATAATTCTTTTATGGCAATTGTTTAATCTTCAGTAATTTGAGTTCTACTAATGGCATTTTTTAAATAAAGTTTATTTGAGCAGGTTTGCACATTACATGCTACGGAAAAGCACCTTTATTGAAGTCATTAAGGGATAGGTGTTTTTTTTTCTAACCTGATGCTTCATTATAACTACTGTATAGATGAAATTTGTGTTTTAGCAGATTTTTATCTGCATTTAACAACATCAAAGTTTTGGTGTGCTGTTCTTTGCTATAATCTCTAGTATTGCGAATCACTATAATAATATAATTTATTTCGGATATCAATGGATCCATAGCGGGTTAGTAACAAAGAGATTATACTTAAAAACTAATGTTAGTCAATAAACACATATGGCTTGAATAAATAAATAAATATTTAACACACCGATGTCACCCCATGATGCTCCCGCTTATATGACTGCATGCAGTCGTATCCAGCGAGCTAGCATCGGAGAGTCCCACCCGTTCTGCCAGCGCCCTCTACACTATACATTTGAAGTTTTTTCTGTTGATTTTGAAATGTTTTAATAGTGAGCATTTTAAAATTGTTTTATCTTGATACTTAACCCCTATTTAATAGCATTGTAGAACGATAATCTATAGAAAACTAAAAATAAATTTACTACAGACAAACAAATAAAGAATTCCGCTTAAAGGGTCAATCATTATATAGTCTACCCTGTGTGTAGTTTTCAAGTGCAGATAGAGTGTATTTATGTGAATATAAATTATTAGATAAAGGAAAATGTCTAGCGTGCATAATTCATCACTTCCATAATAAACTTACGAATTTGAATTTCATAAAACCTAGAGGGCCAAAATATCGTATATTAATTAAGTAAGTTTACTTTGGGTGTATAAATATAAAATGTAGATTCAAACAATCAGACTTTTGGAACCGACATTGATAAAAATTATGTGACTTTTCCCTGGTGTTAAGTACCCCATTATGTGCAATTTTTTAATATAGATTTTAACTAAAAAGGCAGATTCGTAAGTTTGCCGTAAATGTGACGATTTGTCGGCTTCATTTTGTATGATAGGTGCTGATTAGGATAAAACATTTGATGATTAGGATAACATGACAACGTTCTAAAAACACTTGAACGCTAACAGTTTTGCAACGACTCATCATGTTGAGAGTTAATGACTAAGTGGACATTAAAGAAATATGTCATGGAAACAATGTAAACAATTGTCCCTAAAATATTGCTTGCTTATCGTCTATTAATACACCATTATGTATCCTATCAAGTTACAAGCTTTCGTAGCCAAGATAGTCTTGGTCTTCAGACGTTTTAAAATGCAGTTAGATTCATATACCTACAATTCACACGCGTATCTACGTTATCTCTGATTTTGTTTGGTTTTAAATATCCGCCATAAACGGAGCTTAATAAGTCGTATCTTTTGATTGCGTCGTTTGGGAATTTTGATTTTTAACACGCTTTTCGACTCGACTTGTATGTTACTATGTAATAAAATCTAAGAATGTGAATTACACCCACTTTTAATTCTTGTATCATTATGAAACTTGGCAATTACATGTAGATAAGATGACAATACAATACTATGGTACCATCGAGCTGGTCTGATGATGGGACTGGAAGGTGGCTGATGAAACCTTGGACTGCTTACTAGCAAACATATCGAGTTTGGGCTCATTAGATTCGTCTTAACATATTCTATTCATTTATTCTTATGATTGAAACGGAAAAGAGTAAAAAAAAAATTGTTTAAAAAAACCTAAAAATACGCATTTATTTACTGCACTAAAAAGCCAAAAATAAACAAATTATACTCTCTGTTTACTTCATCAGGGCCTTACAGTAAGCCATGTTTAGAGTTTATTTCAACATACATGGGTGATTCCTGGGACCCATGATTTTAAGGGTCACATTGAAATATAAAATGGAGTAATAGACCAACTTGAATAAAGTACCACTCCAAACTTTACTTAACTATTATAGTGTTGAGGCCCATTGATAAAAAGTAATATTTAATTAAATAAATTGGTTAAATATCCATTTGAAACTGAAAAACGCGATAATTTCACTAGATTGTCACACGCGCGACTATTGCTGTGTTATAGTGAATTTTTTTTTACGCTTAAGGTTATACATGAATATATACTTTTTTAAATACATAAAAAGTTATTCTATTAGATCATGAATAAACTGTTCTAAAATAATGAAAGTCTAGTATACCTTTATTCGTACAAATACATGTCACGCGGCGGGCATAGTTTCAATCTCGCGCCGAAACTATGACAATTTATTTAGTGGAATACGCGGTAATCGTCTTGTGATTGGTCCAAAAGATCGTTTGTTGACCGGCAGTGTTAGGACGGGAAGGTAGGGTCCGTAGATTTCACGCCAAAAATTTTAGGTAAGTTCTTTGACTTCTGCAAATGTTTGTCCAACGGGGTAGGTATAACTCGTGGCTCGTTTTGCTGTTAAATTGAGAATAGTTTCACTTAACTGGTCTTTGATTAATAATACGTATATCCATGTGTAGGCACTGGAGTACAAATAAATACGATTTTATTTATAGTTTTACAGTAATACCTTCATATTTGAATTATCGTCAGATTCGTGGTCGTAAAATCCGTGGATTTAAGCCATGGATCTGATGTATCGACCATGGATCTGACCACATAATATTATAGCTTCACTGCCTCCGTGATGTAACGGTTAGAGCGTTGGACACCCAACCTGAATGTCGTGGGTTCGAATCTCGCGCGGACCAACATAATATCTCCTGCGTAGCTGGTTAATCTCGTTGAGATTAGCCGCTGTGGTAGAAATCGACCATGAGGCCTAATTTTTACAGCTTCAATCATTTTCTTTCAGTTTTAATTGCCGTGGGTACTTACTAACACCCAGTAAAGACTGATATTTAAACGTAAGAATTTAAACAAATACCAAAGTAGTTTATTTATTGATTTTTTAATATTTTATATGCAATGGATGTATAAAAATACAAAAAAATAAAACTTATGATTACTTCTGCTATAATGATGTTTTATTTATAATTTTCTTTATTGCAGCATTCTAAAAGGCGATTCTAACGCGACGCCATTACTTAATTCATATACTTCGTCAGATCCGTGATGCCCTATGTCAGATCCGTGGCGAGCCAAAACTTTTTCTTTTTTTTTTTCAAGAATCTATAAGGTCTACGTGTGTGCCTCATCTACAGAATGACTTGTTTTTCAGCCCTCTTTAGCCATATAATTTTAGTTTTTTCTAATAATTTAAGTTTTCAGAAGTGTCCGCCAATAATCTTTGTTTTTACAGTCATTTACTTGCGATTTCGAACCTAGAAAATAATATTTCATGATTGTTGGTTCTTAGGCTAACTATGTATGGATGGACGCAAAACAATGTCCTTTAGCTAATTGTACCATGCTATTTATCAAATGAAAGGGCTCAATATTAAAGTTTCCTAAATTCTTTTTTTTACATAATAAAAAAATAGATGAAAATTTAGCTGTCCGCGTTATCTCTGAAACTACTCTTTGCTTGTTGATTACAGTAAAACCTAAGGAAAACCTATAAGGAGTTTATGGTTATTCAAATTGAATATATATTTTTTCCATAACAAACGTGATTATTTTGCCGTTTTTGATCGATACTGTTAGAGGATCGACCTGCACTTGGCCGGTATTTTTATGATAAACGGACACGGATAAAAAACAAGTAGAACATTTGAGATGGCCGTAAAAGCGGTGTCTGAGACAGATTGGTAAAGATATTAGAAAATTGGTTAAGTTACAAAAAAAATATATACCAATCATCAGTAGTCTAAAGAAATATTTCCAACACTCACACCAATTAGCCTAGCCCCAAAGTAAATATCCATGACTGGGGTACAAATTCTCCTATTAATCACACAAACATCTGCCCCCCCCTCCCATATCCATTCCATATATTCGAACCCTCGGGACCTCCCGAGTAGGCGACACCTTGAAACCCGGCGTATATACCTCTCGGCCACGGAGGTCAAATTGTAATAAACACCTAAAAATGTGTGATATTATTCCTCTACGAAGCATTAAAACGTTTTAAAGATGTGATTTAAAAGTACATAATTAAAATTTTCATTTGTTTTTTTAGATACTATGGGCATTCGTTCGGAAGTGCAATGCAAATCAGGGAAGGTGGCATTAAACTCATCTCAATCCGTCGACCGGCACAGCCTCACCAAAGACGGGTGGCTCCTGTCATCGCTGTCATTGACAAATGACTACTGCTTGGAGGCGTTCGACACTCGTTCCTGCAACAACGAGGTGTCCATCACAGCGGTGCTGTGTTTCATAAAACCACCCGTCGTCAAAGATTTCAGAATATCTTTTATTGTGAGTACCTGCTCATCTATTCAATAATGACAAAGTATAAGTCCCCCAGCCCATCGACCTGCACAGCCTCACCGAGGACCGGTGGATGTTGTCATCGCTGTCATTGACAAATGGCTACTGCTTGGAGGCGTTCGACATTCGCTCCTGCAACAACGAGGCACAAATCACGGCGGTGTTATGTTTCATTAAGTCACACGTTGTCAAAGATTTCAGAATATTTACTCGACTGCGCAATGCAAGAGCGCGAAGCGCGACGCGCAGACAGGGTACAGTGTTTAACAGTCTATATATGTATGTTTGTTCCTTTGTGGCACACTCACAACGCGTGGACCGATTTTGATGATTCATACATCAATCGATTCCTCTTAATCATGGGAGTGCTATTAAAGATATGATAGTAACCAAAATTCAATATAAGGACAATTAGGCGCCATATGGTGACGAAGTAAAAAAAATAAGTTGACGAAATATGTCCAGTGGGGTATCGTTGTCCATTTTTCATTTTATTTGACTGTTTAGGATCTACAACGATTTAAAGTTGTATATTACACACTTGCGCTTTTAATTCCAATCTTACGTTTGTATGGATCTTTGTTACTATTTCACCTAAAAAATACTGAATGGATTTTAATGAAACTATACAATAATATAGCTTATACATGATAATAACATATACATAATCATTGAGTGAATTGGCCAAAATATAACAATAAGGGTCAAGTAAGACGGAAAAAAATCTCCCATTTGCAAGCCATTTCGGCCTGCATTGCAAAAACAATAAAAGTTACATGAATATAATGTAGAGTGAAAATGTATCTCTTAAAAAGTTCTACAAAATAGTCCGCGACACCTTATATGTATTTTTAATGTACAAGCCATTATCGCTAAAATAGTGAATCTAAAATAAAATATTATTTGATGTCCATTTCCAAAATGCACATTTGGTATTTACAAATTATTTTCTATCAAAATAAATACTTTTATCGCTTTTGATATTTCAAGACGATAAACTTTGCTTTTTACACTATGTCATTTCGACAAATATTTAAAAAGTTGCAACGATAAAAAAGTGATAGCGCTTGTACTATGCAGGAGTAGACTACGAGAATTTTGGTGTATAAACGTAGATAAAACCTAGGCGAAAAAGAAAAAAAATGGTCTATAGCAGTGGTTCTCAAACTTTTTAAATGACGGAACCCTTTTGGGAAGCAAAATACTTGATGGAACCCTACAATAAAACAATTATTTTTATAAGTGTATTCTATATTAATCAGCATAATAAAAGTACAATGTATCCGTTACTAATTATTATTTACTTCACCACTTGGTAAGGACAATAATAGAAAACATTAAAAAAGAAAAAATCTAACTAGTGGGAGGTATGAAACTGTTTTTTATTTTTCATCAATTGCTTGATATCAGGTTTGATGGAAGAAAGTTGGAGTCTCATATCAGCTTCGGCGTCCAGTCTATTGCGATATTTTGTTTTCGTGGCTGCGTAGGTAGAGAATCCTGTTTCGCACAAATATGTAGTTGGGAACGGGAGAAGAATATCCAGAGCCATTTGGCCAAGCATTGCATATTCATCTTGGATTCTGCACCAAAAATCATTAAGAGGCGTCGTTTTGAACAATGACTCCATACTTGTGTCTGATGACATTTCTAAAAGAGATTCATATATCTCATTTGACATGTTTTCAGGCTTTTCCAAGTTGGGTAAAAAAGGATTATGAATCCAGGAGTTCACTTTAATTTTTGTATTGTGTTCTTCGGGAAAATACTTTTCAAAAGATGCGCGCATCGAACTGAGATATTGGACCAATTCTTCAAACACATTATCTTCAAACATTTCTGAGTCGTTTTCGCTAACAAACTCAGTGAGTAACGTAAAACTTTCTATTTCTTTCTTACCAATGCAAATGATCCAAAAATCTAATTTTCTTTTAAAAGTAGTTATTTTATTATAGGCCTGAAACACTGTTGTCTGTTTACCTTGCAATGATAAATTTAATTCGTTAAGTTTTTGAAAGATATCCGCCATAAAAGACAATCGGAACAACCAAGTTTTATCATACAAACGGTCCTTCAAATTAAAAGAAGTATCTGCTGAAAGAAACATTTGTAACTCGGCTCTAAGTTCAAATAGCCTTGTTAAAGTTTTTCCCCGAGACAGCCATCGCACTTCTGTATGGAGCAGCAGTGTTTTATGTTTGCTGCCATAATCTTCACACAATAATGAGAACAATCGGGATTGTAGTGGTCGTGATTTGATAAAATTAATTATTTTTACCGCTTCATCCATAACTAATTTTAGATTAGACGGCATTTGCTTCATCGCAAGTGCTTGTCTATGCAGAATACAATGACTGGAACTACAATTAGGCGCTTTATTTTTCATTCGTGACACTGCTCCTGCTGTTTTACCTGTCATCGCCTTGGCCCCATCTGTACAAATGTCAATGCAATTGTTCCAACTGAGATTATGTTCTTCAAAAAATATATTTATTTTATTAAAAATTTCTTCCCCGGTAGTGTTTGTAAGCAGCGATGAACACATAAGCATGTCTTCTTCAAAAGAACTTTTATATGGATATCTCACAATAACCAGCAGGATAGCCAAACCAGCGACATCAGTCGACTCGTCCATTTGCAAAGCGAATCGTGTATTTTGTAGACGTGTAACTAGTTCTTGTTTGACGTAGCTTGCCAGATCATGGATTCGTCGTGAAACAGTATCGTTTGATAGCGGAACAGTAGAAAGATGCTTTGCAGATTTTTCATCAAGCATACATTTTGTTATGTCTAATACACATGGTTTTATTAATTTCTCAGCGATAGTGTGCGCTTCACCTGCTTGTGCAATGCGATAGCTAACTAAGTATGATGCCTCCGTGGCCTTTTCGTTGGTAGTTTGTGTTACATGCATCATATTTTTTTGACTTTCTAATAACTGATCTTTTTTGCGAACAAAAAATTCTTTATTCTTGTCTTTAGTCTCGGGGTGTACGGTTTCTAAATGTCGACGCAATTTGGCAGGTGCCATGGAACTATTAGGAAGCAGTTTACTACAGAGCATGCAGAGAGGTGAGCCGTTGGAATCAACAAATCCGAAACTGATATAAGATTCATCATACTTCCTTTTTTTCGTCTTTGAAACCGTCGAGCTTGACGTCGTGGCACTCGTGGCATCATCTTCTGGATCGGTGATTGCTAAATTCTCCGCGCGCATTGCTTTTGAACATTCAGCGTCATTAGAAGATGTTGTTGGAACACGTTTAACACCTTTAAGCCAACGTTCCATTCTTCTTTATTTATAATGTTACAAGTCAGGATAGTGGGGTTTAAATAATGCACAATCGTTACTGCGTATAAGAGACTAAATTTAGAACCTACAGGGAAGAAATGTATAAAACTGAGACAACAGAATACAGCAGGCAGTAAAACAATGAACACCAGTTTCTCGCTAGCGAGCTTGTAAGTAGGTAGTAACTTATCGCTCCGAACGCTAATCATCAACTGACGACGCCAACGCGCGATCGCCGCTTTTATACTTAGTCCTAGACTCGATCTCAAATATTCTCGAAAATACTCGAGTCGGCACCTTTGATAAACAAAAAGCAAAAATAAAAACAGAAATTTAAAAATAGCGTTGTAAACAATATCGACTTTATCCTTTGAAGTTAGAGACGAAAGTCGCTAGTTGACAACTATAGCGTCTAATTCAGAGGCGGCTTTTATCAAAGAGACTGAGCGCTTACAAGTATACTACCCGCTCGTTTTAAGTTTGCCGCTGGCGATAGGTATGAGTGTATGACGTTCGAAATTTTTTATTTAATTGTAACAATAAAAATTGTGTACGTTAGATATTTGGGTAAAACTATGACACATTATAAGTTTTGTTGTCACGTGGGGGAGGGTACGCGCATTCCACAGACCGGCAAACTTAGAGCGAACGCGTTGTACAAGTATAAAATTGTTGAGACCAAACTTATGAGATATTGTACCAGCTAATGTAACACAAGCTTATACAAATACAAATAAATAAATAAATAACATTCATAGCGTTTTGTCTCCGCGCGGCCGCGGAGTCCGCACAGCCGCGGAGCGACCAGAGAGAGGTGTTTTGATTTTTTTATTTCTAAATTCTTGCGGAACCCCGACAGAGGTATCACGGAACCCTAGGGTTCCGCGGAACACACTTAGAGTATAGCTGGTCTATAGTATCCAATCCTATACGAAGTACTTATAATAAAACTGTGATACAGTTTCTTCTTATGAAATGATGAAAAATAAATTATCTTAATAGGTATTTATGATTATTGTAATCTAATGAAAATCTCAGAATAATACTGTTTTTTTACCCGGCTGCGCAATGCAAGAGCGCGAAGCGCGACGCGCAGACAGGGTTATGTGTTTAACAGTCTATATATGTATGTTTGTTCCTTTGTGGCACACTAGAGACCAAACGCCTGGACTGATTTTGATGATTCATACATCAATCGATTCGTCTCAATCATGGGAGTGCTACTAAAGATATGATAGTAATCAAAATTCAATATGGTCCAAATTAGGCGCCATATTGTGACGAAGTAAAAAAAATAAGTTGACAAAATATGTCAAGTGAGGTATCACTGTCTAGATAATCAAAAATCATATTTAAGTTCCTAACACCATTTTTCATTTTATGTGATTGTTTAAGATCTACAACGCTTTAAAGTTGTAATTAACCACTTACGCTTTTAAATTCAATCTTACGTTTGTATGGATTTTTGTTGCTCTTTCACCTAAAAAATACTGAATGGATTTTAATGAAACTTAACAGTAATATAGCTCATATATGATAATTACATATATTTAATAATTTATGTAGTTATTGAGAGAATTGGCCAATATATAACAATAAGTGTCACATAAGACGGAAAAAAATCTCCCATTTGCGAGCCATTTTGGCCTGCACTGCAAAAACAATAAAAGTTACATGAATGTAATGTAGAGTGAAA